TGACAGAGACCGAGGAAGGAAGGAAGCGCGTGGAAGCTGCAAAGCGAAAGGATCCGCCGCTGAAGTTTCAAAAGGTGGAAAGGCCTGAAGAGCCCCAGGTGCGTGACCCGAGTGCTGCTTCAGCACCGGGACCGTCTGGTGGTGCGTCTTCATCAGCGAAGAGATCCTCTGAGGTTCCTAGCATCCAGGAGGCGCGTCCAGCGAAAAGGGTTCACGAAGTCGGTTCGAAGAAAGCAAAGGTTGCCCTGGAGGAGCCGAGTACTGTTTCAGTACCGGCACCGCCGGCGCCTTCGGCCCCGTCTGCTCCTGCTGCGGGCGACGTGGAAATGGCCGACGAAGGTACCACTCGTGCGGCGCAGTCCAAGCGACCGCGCGAATCCGAAGAAGAGATGGCAACGAATCTTCTTTTGTCGTTGCGTACCGGATTTCTCAATGCTGTTTATCAAGCACATGAACAGTATCCTGTGTGTGAGGAACGACTCGGAACTGAGCAGATTGAAGAGTACGAAGCGTCCTATTGGGACGACGTTAGTGGAAAGCCATTGAGGCCAGAGTTGGTCGAGGTAGCCAGAAAAGAGGAAATCTCTACTATCACCGAAAGGGGTGTTTGGGAAGTCATACCTCGTCCGTACAATGAACCTGTTATATCCACTCGCTGGGTGGATGTGAACGAGCGAGATGAGAAGTCTCCGAAGTACCGCAGCCGTCTTGTTGCAAGAGAGCTCAAGAAGCGATCTCGCAACGGTGAAGCCGATGGTCCATACACTCCAAGCTGGGAGGATTTCTATGCATCAATGCCGCCAATTAGTGCCTTGCGGACATTGTTCGCCTTGGCCACTACCCGCCATGCGCCAGACCTGAACGGTCGCATGCAGGAGATGCCTCTAGACCAGTGTTTGGTGTTTCTGGATACCAAGAAGGCTCACTTTTGGGCAGATGCCCGGCGACGCCTTTTGGTTGAACTACCAAAGGAGGCTGGCATCGACGTGCGGAAGTACGTGGGACTTTTGCGCAAATCGTTGTACGGTACCCGGGATGCCCCTGCCAATTGGGAGGCGACCATCCTGAAGGTTATGACGCTGCTAGGTTTCGTTCAAGGCCGATCAAATAGTTGCCTGTACTACCACAGCACGCGAGGAATCCGCGTTGAGGTACATGGCGACGACTTCACCGGTCTAGGTGCAAAGGACCAACTTGAGTGGTTCGCTCAGGAGTTGGGCAAGCATTGGACGGTAGAAGTTCGAGGTTACCTGGGACCCCCAGGAATGGCTGGAACCAAGCAGAACATTGACATCCTGAACCGATTGGTCTCATGGACCAACCGTGGAATAGAACTTGAGGGAGATCCACGTCACGCTGAAATCATCATCCGCGAGATGGGCTGTTCAGGAGGAAAGATCACGACGCCCCTTGTCAAAGAAAGAGTTGAAGAGGTTGACGGTGCAGATCCATTGTCTTCGGACGATGCATCAAAGTACCGCTCGGTGAGCATGCGTCTCGCCTACCTGTCACAGGACAGGCCAGATCTTCAAGTACTCGCCAAAGAATTGGCAAAGGGACTCCTACAACTGCTCATATGCAGATGCTCAAGCGTGGTGCACGCTACCTGCAGAATCGTCCAAGGATGATCCATCTGTTTCCTCATCAACGATCGATTTCTCGATTGGACATTTGGACAGACTCAGATCATGCTGGATGCCTGCGTACAAGGAAGAGTACTAGTGGCTATTGCGTAAGGCTAGGAGGTTCTACAACCAAGACGAGTTGCAAGAGCCAAGCGGTGATAGCCCTCAGCAGTGGTGAAGCTGAGTTTTACTCTCTTGTATCCGCAGCCTGCGGTGGACTAGGAGAACAATCAGCATTGCGAGATTGGGGCATTTGGCTACCAATCCAGTGCTGGATGGACTCTAACACAGGTCTAGCCATAGCCTCACGGCACGGCTTGGGCCGTGTTAAGCACGTGGACACCATATTCATGTGGGTCCAGGACGCCGTTAGTTCTGGACGAATAGCGTTGGGTAAGAAACCCACGCTTGATATGTTAGCAGATTTGCTGACGAAGGCTTTGGATCAAGCCAGAATGCGAATGTTGCTGGAACGGATGAATTACCACTTCCGTGATGGACGACATTCCTTAGCACTCGACGTTTGAAAGAGGGCTTGAGCTGAGTGGCCTAGGACCCTACACACACTCGGGCAATTGACCCGAATCAATCGCCCTCGGGAGGCGTGTTGCGATGTAGGGGTTGGTAGGATAGTTTCACTAGGGTTTGCATGACATGTGTTTCACTTACCGCAGCCCTTTTGTAAGTTCAGTTAGAGAGCCGAGATCTGCTGAGCCAGCAAGGAAAAGGGAGCCCAATATACCCGCTGCAAAATATATATTTATACTATATTATGTTATGCTTTTCATAATTTAGCATATTGTGTTTTTTTGATACTCTGTTATATTAAACTATCTCATGTTTGTATATGACATCATATTACCATCTATTATCTTATCTTATATCATTCTATTTTATATACTCAGTTATATAATATTTTGTACTATATATAACTTCTTCTCTTCTTTATTTTGCTTTATACTATGTTTCGTTATATGGTACTATTTTATGTTATGTCAAGTTTTTGAATCATATCGCATTTTTAGCGTTCTATATTTTATTGTAGTAAAGTTATCATATCATGTTTTGTTGTATCATATTTCATTGTATTGCGTTGCGTTGTATTACATATGATTTTTCGATATCACGCCGTATTATTTTTTGAGTTTTGGCATATTATATTATATGATGTGATTTGATATTGCAGTATTTTATATCTTAGTACATTACATTAAATTACATTTTTTGATATGATATGAGTATTGCATTTTATTTCTTGTATTATTTGATGTTACTTTTTTTTTTTGCAGCGTGTTAAATGACAATCTGTTATGTGGTATTCTTTTATTCTATTCGGTTCGGTTCGATGCGGTTCGATTCTAATCTGTTCTTTTTCTCATATATTATACATTTTTTTTAAAATCGTATTTTATTATCGGTTGTATATTTTTCTAAATTCATATGTATTATGTATATATGTCTGCACGCACGTATCCATATATAATTTGTGCCTGTACATGCATACGTACATACACACATAATGTATATATATATATATGTATATATATATGTATATATATATGTATATATATATATATGTATATATATATATATTTGTGTAGATATATGTGGGAAAAATCCCAAAGACCAAAGGCGTGCTTAGAAAACAAAAAGGATGTGTGATCAAACAATAAAGGTGGTGAAGTCGACTTGGCAAACATTGAACCACGACACGCCTGTTGCATTTTGTGAAGCAGGGGAACTCTGTTCCAGATTTTTTAAAGAGAAAGGAACGGTGTCCTGCGGTCGTGCGGTTGTCATGTTCTTTTCATTTTTTTCATGTCAAAATTTTCCTTTAATTGCTAAACAAGATCTCTTTGTTCATGATCTGCCAGGAAGGACTTGCCAATAAGCGCGCCGAAACCCTGTCGCAGGATGCTGCTGGGAGAAGCACTAGCAGAGAATGGACCCAAATATCCAACAATATTCCAACAATTCTTGATCGAAATCTAAGTTTCCTCGGAATTCTCTGATTTCATTTTTCGCCCCTTTGTGTTTTCCCAGGAGTTGATGGATGCGACTAAAGAGCTGCAAACACTTCAAACCCAGGCTTGGGACCTGCAACACGTAACGGCGTAATTGCACAACATTGCACAAGATCCAAAATCCCTTCTACTCCAGGCGGGGATCTTTGGATCAAAGCAGGCCAAGAAACTGCCACGTATGACGTCTGAAGTGGTGCCGAAATCAGCATGGCGGCATTACTGTGTGCTCACTTTGGATCACTTTAGCATCTGTGGCAACCATGGTTTTGAGTTCGCATTGTGCTGACAAAACAGCCTTGCATACCCAAAGTATTGAAGCATCTAATGCTTTGCTCAGCAAAGTTCACGTTTCGTTTGGGGAACACCAGTTTATGGAATAATCGGAAGAAGTATAGTTTCAACTTGACAATGCAGGCACAATTATGTAACATTTTTGAGAGATGGAACTTCACCACAGCATGAAGGAACAGAAGGCACAAGAAATATTGCAGACAGATATGTATATATATATATGCATATATATATATGCATATATATATATGCGTTTTTCACATCACTTTTATGCAACAGCTCATTAACACTGGCACAATGGCAAACTCTTCATAGCCTTCTTGCACTTTGGGAAAATGTGGATTACATCTTCAAATAACATGAAACATGGGACGCTTTTGAAGAAACAAACCGCTTCAGAGGATCCTAACAAGAGACTTTTGCCTCATACAATCAATCATGCTATATCATGCTTCTCACCAGAGAACCACTTCAGCAACACCAAAAACGTCTCCGAAAGAACACACAAAATTCCGAGTTTCGAACGAGTTTCGAGTCCAAAATTCAGATCTGTAGTATCTGTAGTAGCGGCTTGTAGCGGCTAGTCCTCATGTGTAGCCGTGACCAGGGCTCATTTCGCACCTTGGACAGGTCGGCGATGCTGCGACGACTGCCATCAAAGATCAGGCGACGAACGGCACGACATACCACGACTACCGCGACCCTGCCACAGTCCCACAGTTTTGATTAGTTTTCTGCGTTTTGTGCACCACCATCCAGATGGAATCCAGATGGAATCCATTCGAAGAATCTGATGCTTCAACTTGGGCCAGACTTTTGATCAAGTCACCCATTGTCAACTGGACTCTGTCAATATTGGTTGCGCATTTCCACTTCCGCATTCTTGAACACCTTGATTCTTCCAAGTTTTGCCTAGGAGATTGTGCTTGTTGCCTAGGGCTTCTTTCTTTGAGCGAACAGCGATGGATTGAATTTCTGTACCCTTGCAATTGATACATGCCGACATGCCCTTGCAATGTAGATATTCTGTATGCCGCTGCTTGTCACATCTTTGCAGGCTATGTCAGAAGCTGCAGCGCTAACCTCGACACTCCACGAGTCGAAAGAACGAATATCAGCTCTGGAAGAACAGGTGGCAGCTACCAAAACCAGATAGAAACACCATTGTGGATTTTGCTGTTTTGATCTGCTTTGCTTTGACCTTGTGTTTCACTCTTCTTTTTGTGTGGGTGCCTGATGTTTGCGTGGCTCGAAGTGTGAGTTTGTGTGGTCTTTGGACGTCAAGAAAGGTGGCTCGCCTTCAACAAGAAGCGGCTGAAGTGCCAAAGATACGATCCCTGCTTGATGCAGCAGAGAAACGCTTGCCTATGGCTCAGCGAAAGCTGTGCAACAGGTTGCCCTAGCAACGGACCAAAAAGGGAAGTTGTAGAAGATTTGGAGAACAACTTCGAACAGAATTTTAAATGTACCTTGCAGATCTTATTAAACATTTCGAACATTTCGAACAACGAGAGCTCGAGCTGCCCCTGCGCTGCTCCAGGCTTAAAGACAACCAAGCAGAGGTAGAGTTGTCAAAGATCCGGCAGACGTTGCACGAGGAGAACCAGGCAATGCGATTTTGACAGTCTGCAGAGTCCTGAACTGAAAAATCCGAATTGTAGGCAGCAAGTGCCTCAAAGAACCATCAAGTTGCACCAAACCAGCAAGATCAGTGGATTGCAGCACATTGTGAAGGGCTTCTTTATTGCAATGATGCCCTTTTTCCTTTCCGGAGTTTTCTTGGACTCCAGATTTGTGAACGATTGTGAGCGTTATTTTGAATCCAGATGGCTTTGACATACGCAGCGCAAGACGCCAAAGATGCAGAGGACGGAGCAAACAGCCACTGTAGCAATTAGCTGCTCCAAGTAGGATGGATAGGATGGAAGGAACACATTCCATACCTCAAAGCTGTGTGATTCATGTAGATTCAATGCACGCTACCAGCTCTGTTTCTCCTCATTTGCTTCTATAGCATAAGGTACGATGGGAATTGAAGTCTACGAATACTAAGATTGCGAAAAGTGTGGCGGTGTAGTGTCACAAAAGAGTTGTAAATTATATTGAATACTGTAACAATGTAATATATATATGTATATATGTTTAAATAGACAACACATAAATAAATAAATAAATGGAATACATAAATCAGTAATATTCTAAAATAAATTAAACAAATTAAGCAAATAAATAAATGAATGAATGAATGAATGAATAAATTAAACAAATTAAGCAAATAAATAAATGAATGAATGAATGAATGAATGAATATATAGATAGATAGATAGATAGATAGATAGATAGATATAGATAGATATAGATAGATATAGATAGATATAGATAGATATAGATAGATATAGATAGATATAGATAGATAGATAGATTGATAGATAGATAGATAGATATATATACACGATGGTGCTCCAAATACATCAACTTACTCATCTGATTTTATCTTAATATTCTTTGATATTCACCATTTTGCCAGGAAGATGTGCCATGCCCCAGGACATGCTCCGCTCTGCCTTGGCTGCCGAAACCACCTGCCTCATTTTGTCCCAGTCAGAGGCGCCAATGTTAGTCGATTGTTGGCACCTCGTTTTAGACACTTTTAGAACATCTTCAACCTATGGAAGATGCAGAACCCGTGGAAACTATTGAGCAGTATTGAGCATTTTGCAATTGGAATCGAATTCAGATGTGGCATCAAGTTTGATACATTTGTTTCGCCTGCTGGAAGGTTCAGCGCGCTGAGGAAAAGACGTGTGGAGCCACAGCTAAGATGTTGGCGCCTGGCAGTGGTCTGTAGAGTACAAAAATCATACAAGATATGTTCAAAACCTCAAGTGACCCGTGTTGAAACCAGTGGGGCTGAAATCGGAGATTGCTTTCACAAGTTACACACCTAGACCGCGCACACACACACACAACACGGTACCCTTAGTGGGAAGCATGGCGATGGAGGGAGAGAGAGAGAGAGAGAGAGAGAGAGAGGGAGAGAGAGAGAGAGGGAGAGAGAGAGAGAGAGATAGAGAGAGAGAGATAAACAGTGTGGGAAGCATGTCTGAATTTGTTTGGAGAGAAACCAACCTGTTTGAAAGGTCTTCAGTGTGCAAAAAGCAGGGTGAACTCAGAAACCGTTTGAGGTTTCAACTTCGTTCTATCCAAGACAGTCAGCCGTCCTTACCTTCATTCTCTGGAAAGAAGGAAAGAAGGAGTACAATCATTCCAGATCCTTTGCCAATAAGGTAGGCATTTTTAGCGTGGCATGATGAGGACCTGCTTTATAAGGAAAGGATGTGACAAGTATCACCTGGTTTGGATACAATCAGGGATTAAGAAAGAAACAATTCGTAACATGCAAGCACATGCAAACCGCCAGAAACCATCACACACCATTGTACACCATCACGATCAAACGATGGCCAAACGCGTTTTTTTTTTTCACGGCCAAACCTCAAACTGCTGGGATGCTCGGCAGGCAGGACTTGGCCGTGGGACCGTAGAGCCGTCTCCAAGGCGTCAACTGGAAGATGCTGGCAGGAAGGAGCTGGAAGCTTTACAACAGGGAGCCCGAGAAGATGCAGAGGAGGCACGCAGGATGACGTTTCTCTACTTGTTCGATAGATGAAGACAACATAGACAGCATGACATCCTGCGAAAAACTTCATCAGATTTCAACTTGAAACGTTTCAGGCGTCAGAGTGTTGTTCAAGAGATGTTGGTCCCTTGCCGCGTGGTCAGAGAGCACCAAGAGCTTTGCCACGTCTTAACACGTTGTGTTGCCACGCGAGTGTCGCCACGCGAGTGTTGCCACGTGTGTTGCTAGGAAGGATGCCAGGCCGCAGCCGTTTTGGCTCAGCTCGGAGACGCGTTTCGCCTCCAGGCTTAGAGGCCGTGGCAAGCCGTGGCAAGCCGTGGCAAGCCGTGGCAAGCTGTGGCGACTGTGGCGAGGATGAAACATGGTTGTTTTGAATTTTTGATACCTGTTCTAGTATGTTCTAGTTAACATATGTTAACATGCTTTAAGATGCTTTAAGTATCTTTAAGTCATGCTGGTCATACTTCTCTACGAATGGATCACCTTTTTGTTGGACCGTTGGCACAGGTGGAGGCTCATGGCGATGCCAGCAGAAAGGATCGATCAACCGGACTTTGCGGTGGCCTGGCGGGATCTGGCGAGATCTGGCGAGCTTTGAGTTTCGACACAGCGAAACAGCGTAAAGATATGTAAAGACTTTAGTATCTTTAGTACATGTAAAAATGTTAAAGCAAAACAGAAACCAAACCAGGCCAAAACACGAAACTCATGGACAACTTCTTGGTTCAGAAATTCCTCTCCGTAGATCTCTTTGGTCTCATGTTGACGCTTGGATCGCTTAGATCGTTTGGGATCTTCGCAATTTTGCATTTTCCGTATCTTTCCTGTGGCCCTTTGCATCCTGTGCCCTTGGCGCCGAGGTGAACGCGAAACTGTCAGAAACGCGCAGAGCGAAGTTGATGGACTTGAAGAAACGAGAGGCGCAGCGAATGGATCATGGCGCAGCGACGATGCGAAACAAACAAGAAACGACCATCGACAGGACATGACAGGACCATTGAGATGTAGAAACTGAAAAACAGATACAAGAACGGAATAGAGCGGGTAGTCACTTGAAGAAACTTGGCAGTGTGTGCTAGTAACTGGAGGACTTGAAGGATCAGCTGACAGAGAAGTTCAAGCACCGTTTTGGACATGGAGGAAACAAGGCAGACGTGTGCAGACGTTCAATGATTCATTTTGTCAGGTCGTTCACGACATTTCCTTGTGACGCTTCTTGTTTTGATAATCTTTGATCACTTTCGATCTGTGCTTTTGTAGCTTGCGGTGCCTACCCAGGTCCCACCTAGGTTCTGATGGGCATTGTTACAATTGTTGCTGCCTCTGTTCTTGCTCCTGGCGCTGCATGAATAATAATCCCTTCCTCCTAATACTAAACGTCCCCCTAATACTAAAAACAGGCATCCATCTCCAATTTCCGAAAATTTCAGTTTGGCCAATTTGACTTTTAATTGATCCCCTTTAAAAAACAATTCAAAAATCAACCTACCATTTGTGGGTTCTCCCCCCTAATACTAAAAACTAATTCATCCCGGGGTGTTTAGTATTAGGGGGGCTAGTCCTACTCCCCAAATCCAAGCTGCCTGGCTGGTCTAGCTGCCTGCATGTTTTGCTGACACCACGCTGTCTGGCTGCCTGAAAGCCACCCCTCATGCCTTGCTGCCTGCAAGGTCTTTCTGAGCTGGCTGGAGTCTTGAATTTTGAAGATCCCATAAACACCTATGTTAAGGGTTTCCCTTAATTTTAGGGGGTTAAAAAAAAATTCAAGACTCCAGCCACTGTACTTCCTGGCTGTACTTCCTGGCTGTACTTCTTGGCTGCCTAATGCATGAATAACTAATTAACATGACTTCGATTTGGTTCCCTAATAATAAATACCCCCCTAATACTAAAAACTACCTGCCGTGTTTTGTATTAGGGGGGGGGGTTTAGTATTAGGAGGAAGGGATTATACTTGTCCCCCATGGCATTGCTGATTTCCTTCTAGCTGCGTCTGGTCAGCGGTGCTTTTGTGCTCCTCTTTCCACGTGGCAAAGTTCCAGGAAGCGGATGAGGTTTCCGTCAATTCTGCGACCATCAGGAAAGAAGTGTCTCGGCACCAGGAAGTTTCTGAGTAGCAATCTGTGCATATGGAAATGATATGAAATGATGTGTAGAATTGCACTAGAAATTCAGTTGATTTTTTCCACATTCATCCCGATTTTTTCCGTCATCATGATTCATCCCATTCGATTTTTCCCGTTTTCGTTTCCGTGTTGCCATGTTTGCACTGCCTTGTCACGTTGTCACGTTGTCACGTTGTCACGTTGTCACGTTGTCACGTTGTCACGTTGTCACGTTGTCACGTTGTCACGTTGTCACGGCCAGGTCGAGAGCTTCGCGCGCAAGGCGCCGATCACAGAGACGAATTTGGATCGCCTGGAGCGGCGCATTCAGAGCCGAGCACACGGCAAGGCGCCGCCCCGGATCACTGCCGTTGCTGAGCAGGAAAAAAAGAGCAGTTTGAATTCAAAAGGCTGAACAGGCTGAAGAAGGCTGAAATAGGCTGAACAGTTTCAGGAAGTTTGATGTTTGATGTTTCGACCTGTTGTCTCGCATTGACATTCGTATCACTAGTTTCAGTGATTCTAAGTGTCACATCGGCAGATTGCCACAACTTTTTTTTCTTCGGTTTCATATGCATTTTCATGCCCAGACCGGTGACAATGCATCGACTGTGAGCAAAGCCATCAGTGGTGTGTCGTCACTTGGCAGCGGGGTCCGATGGGGTCCGATGGGGTCGCCAGACGTCAGTGGGACATCGGACAGCCCCAACTTTGCCCTGACTTTCTTCATCTTTCTTCACACTCTGAGGGCATCACTATTGCAATTATTGCATCTGATTGCTATTGGATCTATTGGATTCTAGGCATTCTTACCTGTCCTAAGGCAGTATACTGGGCTCAGTCAGAGAAGCAAGAGTACCTGAGATGCATTGTAAGACATTGTAATCAGGTGGATTTGACACCGATCTGGTGTCAGAAATGGCGATCAGATGATGATCACTGCAAATACGCAAAATTCTTGGCCCATGTTGGCCAACTATTGGCCAACTGTTGGCCCTTTGACCAGACATGACCAGAGTTTGACCAGGTGCAACGTCTCTGGTTGGTAAGAGCCTGGTGGCTCCACGCAAGCACGACTGGTCAAAGTTGGATGAATACGCATCGTACTTGCATGAGCAGGACAGGTAGGGACAGGCAGTCTGCAGGTAGTGAAGCACCAAATGCAACCGATTGCTTCACCGGGTGAACCAACAGCTGCGAGACAATCCTGTTTGTTTGCCTTCAAGCAGCATCCAGGAGTTGATCAAATAAACATAATGAACATGGGGTTACCCCAAGATAAAGTCATATGCAGTGGTAGAAGTGCGACCAGTTTTTTGCAGAGCTCCGATACTTGTGATGGGAATTGTCAGCTAAGCACATGGCAACTCAGACTCTACTTTGATAGGATGGACTTGATGAATCTTGAGGTTTTAGCTGGCACACTGCAGCAGCACTGCAGCAGCTTTTGTTTGAACTGTTTGGCTCTCCCGGCTCTCCCCTTCCCTTTTAAAGCCCAAAGATGCCCAAAGTTCGTAGCCAGGATGCGCTTCGGCAGAGGTTGGGTGTTCAGGCCGGTGCGGGCGGCGTGCCGGCGGCGTGCCGGCGGCGTGCCGGGGGCGTGAGGGTTGGAGTTGCATGATGTTACTGATGTTGCATGAGATCGCCACCGACACTTGCGTTGCCTTGTTGATTTTTGTGAAGAATTGGACGTGAAAATTCCGAATCCTCATAAGTTGAGCTGAAAGGCCCTCCAAAGGAAGATGAAATTGGATCTTGATGCGCAAGTTCAAGACAAGTTGAAAAGGAGAGACGAGGCCCATTCCGCACTTCTGACTCCAGCGAGTCCGAATGCCCTAAGTAGATCCAAGTAGATCCAAGAACGCAGAGCTGCGCACAGGCGTTGGAAGAGGAAAAGCGACACTATGAGAACACCTTGTTGGAATTGGTGGCTGCCCTATATTCCTTTGACATCCTGTGACCATGTTTGACCCATGTTTGACCCATGTTTGACCCTTGTTATACCTCGGTATGACTCGGTCGATTTTCACAAATCTTCACAAAGTCAAGGAGCGGTGGAAGCAGCAAGAAAAGGAGAGGGAAGACGAGCGACATCAGCGAGTCTTGAAAGAAAAGGAGGCCAAGCAGCCAAGCAATAGGGAAGTGCGAGAATGCCACATGAAGGTCACACTAAGTCACACGAACCTGTTTTTGATTCCATGCGATTTTCATCACTTTTGAAGCAGTTCTTTCAGTAGTTCTTCCATGCTTTGCCTTTGACAGGATCGCGATGAGCAGCTTCGCTATGAGAAGCTCCTGAAAGATCAAGAAGAACAGCGTCGTAAGGATGAAGAAGTTCAACTTGTCGACAAGACCCTCAGCTTCAGAGAGTCATGGAATGTCATGGAATTAGGTGGCAGTGTGTACACTCGTACGATGGTCTGTTTCTTCATGTTTCTTCGCACTTAATTTTGCACCTTCTCAATTCTGCTACTATATATTGCAGCCCAGTAGAACCTATCTCCCACCATTCGATTACGGATTTACTTGTCATCCCTATTGCACCATATGCTTTAGAGCCAAGGATTGTGTCGGAAATGGAGGCAGACCAGAAACGCCACGAGAAGAAGAAAGAACAAACCAGGCCCATCACAAGTCGTCAAGTCGCTAAGTCATGACAAGTCATGACAAGTCCCCAAGTCATGCGCAGTGCTTGGGCACAGCAAGTCATTTCTTGGTTCCAGGCGTGCTATGCGGAAGGTCTTCGAGCAGAATGCAGAGGCGGGAACCCCAAATGGCATTCAAATCGGGTTACGACGGTTACGGCATGTTACGGTCTTGCTTGTGCCCGGGTGGTCTCCCTCCTTTCCGAACAGGATTTTACCCACCGTTCAAAGCAGGCCGTTCATCACAGACATGGCGTTGTTCAGCGAAACCAGCGACGCCCAAGTCCTTTCCAAGTCCCTTCCCAGACCCTCCCAAGTCCTCCCCAGCCTCCGATTCCCCCCCCACGCCCGTGAAAGTAGACCCCAAATGGCTGAACATTGTAGAGTAAGATGTTCCTGAAGTACTTATATCAATCTGGGCGCAAGTGATCCTGTTGTTTGGGCGCAAGTGAGGGCTGTTCCTGTTCAAATCGGGGAAAACCGGCCAACAATTACAAACGAAAGAAGCAAGAACAAACAAACTCAGAACGAAATCATTGAAATATTATATAGATATATATGATATATATGATATGTATAATATATACTATAACGCACACATACATACATACATACGTACATACATACATACATACATACATACATGTGGCTCCCCGGGTAAGAGTCCACAAAGGTAGGGAAACCGGTACCAACCAGTTTCTTGGATTTGGGGTTCCTACCCCAAAAGGAAAATCTCCCCTTAAAAGGGCTCTTCACCGTGACCCCCTGGGCCCTTATGAACTTGTTACACTTCTCGATACCTGTGCTGCCCACAGCAGCCGCGTCCTCGCTTTTGCACCTCACGTGCCTTGAGCCATGCGCAGTGGCGATGGCGAAGTCTCTGGTTTCCCATGCAGCCTGCAGGTGGCATATGGTTCGTACATCCAAGGTTACTCAAGTCACACTGGTCTATTTTTCTTTTGGATGTACTTTCGGATCCTCATCTTCCAGTGCCGCGGTTGGTAAGGATACCCACTTTGCCGCGATCTTGCGGTGTGAGTTGTTTTGTAACGTTTGGCTCTCATCGAAGATTCTGAATCTTCCCAGCCGTAGCACTGACCTTAAAAAAGAGGATTCCATCGGCTTCGTCAGACAGTCGGCCAGCATAATTGCTGTAGAAATCCAACGGCACTGCGAATGCCCTTCTGCCTGCTGCTTGATAAGCATCACCTCCACAGTTGTTCTCCACTCTTCACAGTTAGGTACTGCCAGTTTAGTGACTAAGTCATATAAACTTTTGCAATCTGTAATAAGTAGAGCTTTGGGACATGCTTGAAGGGAACGTTCGGGATATTGCCACTTGAAGGTTGGACTTAGGATATAACCCCATAGACACCTAAGCCAGGTTAATTTGTCAAGAGAGGAGCTCATTGCATATGCCTCGGCACTAAGCGTTGATCTCACCACTCTGCCTATCTGTTTGCTATTCCAGGACATAGGACTGATTTCGGATGTTTTGTTGGCAGCAAGTTCGGGCGTGCAGGCAACGATAAACAATCCCTGTTGGGCCTTTAACTGAGAAGCACTGGCAAAACTTGCATCGCCGAAACTTGCAAAGGTGATTCGCTCCAAAGGCAGAGGTCTCACCATTATGGCCGTATCAGCCGTCTGCTGGGCTTCAATCAGCACTCGGTTGGCGTCCAGGAGAGTTGACACTGTCGCCTTGCAAATGTTCTTCTGGATAAAAGCTACCTTTGCTGCTATGTCGGGTCTGCTATGTACAGCCGCATACTGAAGGCTCCCACACAACCCCCTCAAGTCTTGAACTTCTTGGGCGTTTGCCATTTCATTTTTGTTGGCTCTCCTATTTTTGGGCACTTGTATTTGTTCAATCTTATTGATATATGGTTCCTGACTGATTTTGATGGAGTTATCAGGCAGCTGTTCAATCTCAAGACCCGTGAATCTAAATTTTCTGAACTCTCTCTGTCCAAATGGAAGTACTTTTTGCAATTCTTTCAAGGCATTCTCATAGTGGTGATTCCCTCCTCCTATGCCATCATCAACATGAGTTCCTAAGATTCCATCCAGAATTTCGGGATTGGTTTTGTTTCGCAGCAAGAACAGGCAATTGTCAAGTGGATGAGCTTCAAATCCTACTTTCTCTAGTTGACGTCTAAACTCCTTGTAAAAGAGCAGTGGTGCATCAACTCTGCCATATGCGTTACCCTCTAGCAACAGGACCTCGTCACTTGTCATTTTGAGAAGTCTCTGAAGTTCTGGAACGGGTTCCATGGCCAATTGCCTTCCATCTGATTTCCCACGGAGAAAGGCCGTGGTTATATCGAAGTTTTGGACTACCCAACCCATCGATGAGATCACCTGCAAACACAGCATTCGAGCATCTCTGGACAAAGTCGGGGATTCTGTACTTACCTGATCAAGTTCGGGGTCTTGATATCCCCGTACTTGTTGGCTTTGGCCTTCTGACCCTTGGGCATGGACGGGTCAGGTTTCCATGTTAAAATCCATCGACTAGTCATGATGCGGTTGGGGGAAATTTTGGATCTCATGATTTTCCTGACAGCACTGGTTTCCAACCAACAGTTGAGTTCCTTAGATTTGGCTTTGTCAAAGAGATCTCTCTCGGATGCATTCAATGTGGCATATCGGACTTCGGAACGTGCACGCCTAGCTGCAGTGGCCAAAAAGGAGGTGTTCATTTTGGGATCTTTTATGAACCTTTGGACGTGCTGCTTGGGGACATCAAACTCATACTCACAGTATGGTCGAGGATCCTCTTGAGCATCATCCCATAACGTGTCTTCGTCGCTAGGGATGGCAGGTCCGGGAACATTGGACTCCGAAAAGAAGGCATTATAGACTATGTTACTGTCTTCAATGCTCTCATTCCCACTTAGGTTCTCCCCAAAGTTACTCCCCGTAACATTATTCTCCCCGTTAGGCTCGGGTGCAAAGCTACTTGGTGACACATCACTTGGCTCGCTCCATTCATGGTCTACACTTTCTGGGATGGCCACTTCTTCAGGACGCAATTCTCGAGCTTCGGGCACAGGTTCATGTGAGGCTCTTCTAGAAGGTTCTTCTTCAGGTTGATTTCCTTGTGGGTGGTCCTCTTCCATGGGTGCTTCAACTGGGACATCACTTAGATCTGAGAATTGGAACATTCCACTTCTTTCATGGAGTCTCCTTTGCAGATTCTCAGCCAACTTTTGGGCCTGCTGTGCATCGATTTGTTGGCTGAAAGACGCATGTCGCTCAAACTCTCTAAGGCTGACAGGACGGAGGTTATCCCTTGCACATCTCAACAACCTATTTATGTGAGTTATCCAAACGATAGTCTTTGATTCAACCAAAACAACTTGAGCTGGTCCACACCATTTTCCTTTCTCTATCATGTTGGCTGATTTGCGCTTATCCCAGAACATACAGGGTTGTCCGCATTTCCATTCATTGATTTCCCCTCTGGACTTCCTCAGGGTGGCTCGGCGTATGGCTTGACTGTTGTCACTGTCAATGAAGGCTTTTCGGGCCAACACTCTGAGTTCCAGCGACGCACGGAATTTTTCTGCCTCAGGTCCTTCATTGAAGGCTGCATGCATGTGTGCCGGAGTGCTTTCATCACTTGTCAACGATGCGGGGAGTCTTGTTGCCTTTCCTAGGACTGCTTGCTCAGGACTGTAGCCACATGTTGTAGAAAGGCTATTCTTGGCTCGAAAGACTTGAAACAATGCTCTTTCAAATTCTCCTTCATTGTTTATCGGCTGAGCTTGATCTATTCTGGACAACATCTCTTTTACAATTGCTCCATGTCTTTCAATTCTACCTCTCTGCCATGGCCCTGCAGTGAGTATTGGGGTGATATTCCCTTGCTGGAGGAATTCTTTCCATGGTTCGGCAACAAATTCACCTCCGCAATCCATGACTAGCTCGCTTGGTATTCCTGCCCAGCTGCTCCAACATTCTTCAAATACTTTTTGCGCTTGGATCCCATCACGAACTGTGCGTCTCCCCAAGTGAAATTGCGTGGCTTCATCAATCAAGTGAACAACATATCCTTGATACCCTGTAGTGCTTTTCCAATCAAAACCATCAATGTAAATTCGGTGGTTGAAATCTCTAGCTTCTTTGAGGGTTCCGGTTGGGTTCAAACTTGGTGGCCGTCTTTCCACACATGAGGGACACAGGTAATCCAAGGCACCTTGGACCAGCAGCTCTTCTGCTCCGAGTTCTGCCAGGTGTTTGGATAAACGCTCTGATGTCGGGTGACCCAGATTGTGATGCAACTTTCTGATATATGCTTTTCTGGGCTCAGATAATTGGAGAAATCTTGGACCAGACACCGACACTGCAGCGGACGTCCATGAGTTGGCGGGCATGACACTCGAAAGGTCAGGTGCTGAAACTTCAGGGTTCTCAGCATTCGGCTCACCGACTCTTCTGGTGGAGTCACTTGTTGGGACTGGCATATGATTCGTCCCAGGCGGTGTTCCAGGGTCTTCCATTATGGCGTCTCCTACAACTTGGACCTCTGAGGACTCTTTCTGTCTACCAAAAACACATACCATGACATGTGAAGGCATGGATGCTTTCCTTTTCTGATGGCTGTTGGGCATGGACTGCAGATCTTCAGTTCCAAGGTCAAACACTTCGTATGACAATCGGCTCAGAACTACCGTTCTTCGGTGAGGCAAACGATCTGGGTGGACCATGTATTTCTCTCGACCCTTGCATGCCATTACTGACTGGACTTGCATTTCAGGGCATAAGCTTTGAAGAACTTGTACTTCGGCATTATGAGGACCATCCCATTTAGTTACCCCAGATTTAGGTAGTTCCTTTCGATATTTATCCATTACCCCTTTCCATCTTATGTCCTCGATTTTCTTAGGTGGTTCTTCTTCGTGAGTTCTTTTACGGCTTGACTTCTTGCCGGTTTCGTTCTCTTTGACTCTGGAACGTTTTGCCATGCTCTCCATTGGACTTCCGGATTCTTCCAGCTTTCGAACGGGAAAGCATTCTTGCTGGACGACCATGGTCGGGACGGTTACATGTTCATGCACTGGTCGCATGATCACTTCGGCAATCTTCTTTGCAAGAACTCTGGGATAGAACGCTGAGAAACGGGACACCTGTACAGTTTTTCCATCAACGGTACATGATCCAGCTACATGTGCATGGGCATGATCTCTGGAGCACAGTCGGTTATCCAGGCTTCTAAACATTCCCTCGGATGAGGTTTGTACACGGGTGCTCTTTTGCATCGGTTCTTGCAAAGATGGATGCCTTAAACCGAACTGACACTGATCGAAGAAGGCTGGCTTGGTACGACCGCATATTTCTTGCATTTCTTCCTGTTGCCACATTCCGGAAGGTTTGGGGTTTTCAAGGTGAAAATGG